GGGGGGGGGGGAGGTGGGCTGGGTCGTGTTGCAGAGACGGACTCATCTGTATGTTATGTGGCATCGCCAAAAGGTAAGGGCAGACACGGAAGCAATGTAAAAGGCCCTTGAGTTCTACTGTTTTTATGTTTAGACGCCCGTTTTTTTTGTTCAAGATCAAGACGAGTCGTTTTCTTGTTTCCAGCTCCACCGCGTTCTGAACTCTCTCCCTGCCGTGTCCTCTCTTTGACGATTTCCCCCATGTTCCCTTGTTGTCGGTGCTACTAACGCACCCCTTTCTGCTCCCCGACGACAACGCGCGCATCAACAGATGCTCAAGACACAGGACCTGGGGTACGTGTCGACGCACCGATCGGCCGACGAACGAAAAGCGGCCAAGCTCCGGGAGTCCCTGCACATGCTGGAGGCGGGGCCCCGCAACAAGCACACCATATTCTTGGACTCGGAGAAGGAGGCCAAAGAGTGAGTGCGAGACAGACAAACAGAGAGGGTGAGAGAGAGAGAGTGAGTATGTGTGTGTGATAGAGGGGGAGAGAGAGGGAGAGAGAGGAGGGGGAGAGAGAGAGAGAGAGAGAGACAGACAGACAGACAGACAGACAGACAGACAGACAGACAGACAGACACACACACAGACAGACAAAGACAGAGAGAGACAGAGAGAGAGAGCCCGCGCGAAGGGGGATGAAGGAACGCGTGTGCGATGACAGGTTTGCTGGCTGCGGGTGACCAGACGAATGTGCCCTACCCCGTGATTGATTTACGGGCATACCTTGTTCGTGTGGAAGCTTTTGATTGGTCATCGAAGAGTGTAAGACCTCCCCGTCTGATGGTTTCAGCTCGTTGCTCTGGTTGTTGGTGGAGAATCCGAGCAAAGAAGAGTTTGTCACCTGTGTCCATGTCTTTGCTCGTTCATGTGTACCGCGAAAGGGTAGAACGTACGCGACCACAGTGTCGCTGATCGGCTTTGTGGTTTTTCATCCTCCCGCCTGTCGATCTCGTCGTCGATCTCACCCCACCGATGGAAAAAGGTTTGACGTTGCTAAGCACTTCGACACGGTGCCGGAGTTGGCGGACAGGGCGTTCAACCGGCCTCGAAAGGATACGCTCGAGAAGGCACAGGTGATAGCTTGAAAATGAAGATTAGTTCACAACATTTTGAACAGCATGCCAACCACTATCAAATCCTAGACCGAACGAGCTTTGTCTTACAGCGCTTGTGCTCGTCTTACGGTAGCGAGGTACCTGGTAGTGGTGAGTGGAGGGGGTGTTATCTTGCGCGGGGATCTGGTGTTTAGTGTCTCGGAAGAACGAGAGGTTCGAATCATGTTCCCCCTGTCCTCGTCGTCTTATCCGCCACCCATCATCTTGTTGCTAGAATTTTTTGCGTTTTTCTCTTTCGATCGTTTTGATCTTGAGCAAACTCTCAAAAATTATTGTACGAGTCAAGGAAATCATTGTGGAGCTAAAATGCGCCCGTAGGCTCTCCCTCACGATTCTTGGAAATAACGTTCGTTTTTTGAGCCCATCTCACTCACTTTGTCATGAGGATAAATTGCCCATCACACTCAGCCTGATCTTTTTTTTTTTGCGATTGCGTTCTCTCGTCATCCCTAGCTTGAGTTTCGTCTTCCCCGTGTCTCTTCGTAATCCATTTGGTGTTGCAGAACTATGGTGCAAGTCTCCCGATTTACCTGCCCCCCCCCACCGCTTTCTCCCCCTCGGTGTTTGCCATCGGAGTTGGGTTTTCGTCGCTTGGCAACGACGTTGTAAAACAAGCCGTCCCCCTCGGTGTTTGCCATCGGGGTTGGGTTTTCGTCGCTTGGCAACGACGTTTTGAAAAAATCCAATTCACTTCGTGAACTCGGCAACCAGGTTACCGTTTTTTTTTTTTTTACCTCTGTTTTTTTTTTGGCGGTTACCATAATGGTAG